CTGAGCTAAATCCCCAGCCCCTTCTGTGTATATTTAAATCCCATACAATTTACCTAGAAATTTTTGTGCTCCAACCTGCAGAAATCTTTCTCTTTCTTGCTTTTTTTCTTTCTGTGAGCTCAGGTAACTCCTTCATATGCTATTCACCTGGCACATTTTTATATTATTCTTAATTGTTTTCTTCTAATGTTCTATTGCCAGGGGAAATAACAAGAACACACTAAAAACACCATATAAGTTAGGCCAGCCATGCGGGGACTGCCCTGGTCATTGTGACAGTGGACTTTGCAGTAAGTAATGTCTACTTTGCATCTTTATGTGGTGTTATCTCTGAGAATACTGACCTTACGTGGACAGTGCAGTCTCTGCTCTGAGGGACATAGGTCTCCATTTCCTTCAGGACCTTCATTTTTCTACTTCAGTCCCACTCTTGACAACAAAAACATAAAAACAGTGGAAAGGCAAGTGCAGCGGCCATTTGAGGATGTTAAGGATGAAATAAGAAAGACACAGTAGTAGTCATGCAGACCAAATTTAAGCCAAGCCCAGCTGAAGATGAAGGTTCTCTTTAGCTTCTTTTACCCGCTTCAATTCACTGTTTGCTATCAGGGAACGAGGTCAGTGTACAGAAACTAGCCAACCACACAGTCATGGATAGAGTCAGCTTTGATTTGCTCCTGACCCTAAATACAAGCCAGGAAACACACGAGAAGAAACCTTGTCCTGTGCTTTCTGGTGTACCTGCTCCTTGCTGCACCCCACATAACATATAACACACACACACACACATGCCATATAACATACACACACATACAGCATATAACACATGCACAGCATATAACACATATACACATAGCATATAACATACACACAAAGCATACAACACACACACACACACACACAAACCATTAAATATGTGACTTTATCCCTCCCTAGCAACTGCACATTATGCTTAGGAAGTACACACTTTAAAATGTGAGCTACTTTAAGCAGCACCTATGTTGGAGTGTCCAGCCAGTCTTCTATGAATCCTTGCAAACTACATACACACAGAATCCCTGCTACTGTGGGGTACTTTTCCTTGGTGTGGTTGCAGCTGTGCGCCTGGGTACACGGCTTGCTGAGTGGAATGGGAGCTGGATTTACACTTTGTATTTGTGCCCCTGCCCCTTTGTGTGATTTCACTTACAAGCATACATACCTGCACTTACACGCACACCAGACTAATACACTTGGAATTAGATGTATTTTTCACACTGTAAACCTTGTGAGGACAGAGTAGGGCAATGTACTTGATTTCTAAAAGTTCTGTGTTATGAGAACCCCGTATCTGCTCCATCAAGAATACCTGTTTGCATGAGGCAGTGGTAACAAACCAATGGCACATGGGTTATCGCATTTTCTTTCAAGATGAAAGATGTTAATGTATGAGTTGTTTCTTCTACACCAAAACCTCAGTATTCAGATTTGTTTGCAGTGCGGGTACTTCGTGATGATGCACAAGTGAGTTTTGGTTTGCAGTTTGGCACCCGGTCACTAAAAGGTTCGCCATCACTATCCTCTGTTCACACCAGCTGTTTAATAACAGTTCAAGCCTGGCTCTCCTCATGTTAGAAAGGAATCTTAAATAAAAGAATATAAATGATGAGTGGGTTTTTCTTGAGAAAATATAGTTTGAGGTGACTAGAATTAAAATAAGCAAGATTTCATTTGATTTTTTTGTTTGTTTTGTTTTAGCCAATCCTTGCATGCATGTGGATAATTACTCCAATTGTGCTGCTCTGGTCAAGAAAGAAGGATGTGGAGCAAAAATCACAAAAGACAGCTGCAAAGCTACCTGCAAATGCCCTTCAGAAATAAAATAATGTATCTTTAAAGATCATATTTAGCATTGAGAGTAAAGTGACAGGTTTTAAATCACTGAAAATTTCATCGTCTTCTCTTAAGCACACAGTTTGAAGCAGTCTTTTATCCAACACATCCTTGTGCCTTTGTCAGTTAAATGTGATAATATCTCAGTAAAGAAAAATAGGTACTGAACACAATAAATTCAGTACTTGTGAGCAACAGATGAACATGTGATGCTGAATCGAACAGTCTTTCGTTATCACAATGGATAGAGCACGTTTTCATGTATTTAAAAGTTTGTGTATTCATGAATAAATATGTTTTAAAACCTTTAAAACAAAGGCTCAGAAATCCTTTCCTTTTCGATGGCATAAGTATGCGCTGGTGAAGCGTGCTGCAGGAAAGTTCTGTCCTGGCCACAGTCCACATCCCGAAGACAGCAGGGGTTTCCTGGGGTCAGTGGTGATGAAACACTGATGCATACCTAGCCCTTTGGGAAGAAATGTGACAGAAGCTTCTATAAGTGGTCAGCAACACCCACCCTAGCTGCTGTTCTTAAATCAATCACAGTTTTGAGCACCTCAGATGAGGGAAAGACTATGGCCCCAGAAAACAGTCCTAATATTATACTCATAACATTATACTCAGAAGACTCTGGGGCCACTTATAAAGGTGACAGACGCTGGAAAGGGGGAAAAGCATTTCGTGGTTTACTGAGTACTGAAAAAGAGCATATGTCTGAAGAGTGAAGTTGCCACCACAGCACACAGACTGGAGTGGATCTCACTGTAATGTACAGTGGAGCAGCGCATCTCTTTCACGCCAGGAGAACTGCGGCTGGGGCTTTGGTTTTCTTCTGCAGTCCCAAACTGTAGAGCAGAAATAAATATATTTTTAAATTCTCAGAATCCCCCACTTAGTTATTTTTCTCTTGTTGCTGAAACAAGAAACCTGACACCCAAAGTTAAATGAGGAAAGGTTTATGTAGCTCACAGTTTCATAGAGGTTTCAGCACATAATCAGCAGGCTGCAAGGCAGGGTGGCATGGCAGAGGGGCAACACTTCATGGTGGCAGAAGAAGCCTCTTTTCCTCCCTTGTATTGCATGTAGGCTACCCGCCCTACGGTGGGTGTACCTCTCACACCCCAATGCCGTCAGTGAACAAGGAACCAGTCACAAACTCTAGATTCAGCTGCCTCCAAAAAGCCCACCCCTACCCAAGACCAGGACTGCATGAGGCTTTGGGGGACATCCAGACACAAACCATAACAACCACAATGGGTCTCTGACTTTGATTAAAAGTTTCATGGTAGAAAGGGCTGACTGAAATGCACTGGAACTACCTGTTCCCCACTATCAAGAATCAAATCAAAACTAAATTCTTGCTGCATCCCGGGCAGCTCTCCATGTTCCTGAGGGAGGGGCAGCGAGAGGATTTAGAAGTAAAGATAAGAGATGAAAGCTGAGGTCAGGTGGAGCCCTTTCTCCCGGTGGGAGAAAAGGAACTGAAAATCCACTCCATGGGGGTTTATTTATACATTTGACAAGTTAGTATCATGAAACACAGGGTTGCCTAGCAACTAATGACAAATTGTCTCAGGCAAGATGTCTTCTCAGACTGAGTAGCTTCATCGCTTTAGGCACTCTGGCCTTGCCTTGCCCCCACACGTTACTGATTTCCAGCTTTAGCCGCTCCCTACAAATTCTCATGCCTTGGGCATTACGGGAATTGTTATAATCAGGACATTATACATTCATGGGTATCAATTACAAACATACCCCTATTTAACATGCTAGTAAAAAAGCAAAATGTATTATACATTAATACTCTAGGCTGTCACAAATTCTATAAAGTGATCCACAACTGTGATTTAAGATATGTCTTTATAAGCCAGGAGTGCAGGCATATATCTGCAGTCCCAGCACTCTGGGAGGCTGAAGCATGAGGATCTCAAGTTGGACTCCAACCTGGGCAACAGGTGATTTAACAAGTCTCCCTCACAAATAAATAAATGCATATAGACAGAAATTGATATATAAATAAATAATAAATAAATAAGGAAACAAGGCTGGGATATAGTTCAGTGCAAAGGCCCCAGTTCAATCCCCAGTACCATAAGAAAGATATAACCTTTGCTACAGCAAACCAACATATTTGCTACTACCAGGAATGTATCTAGTATCTTATAATAATGTTTATGCTCATGTAACCAGCAACACTACTCATAAACTGTTCTCCTTCATATAACAAGGAAAATAGTGTACTTTTAATACCTCATCTTCTCTCTCTACAGTAGTTCTGCTAGCATCTCCTTTTCTGGATTTACATAATACCTTATTGATACACACAGAATTCCACACTATTGTCTTAATAGCTTTAATCTGAGGAATATGATAATCACATAGTATGCTACACTATTGCTCTAATAACCTTAATGAAAAGAATATGGTTTTATGCAGAGCAGACAGTATAGATGCCAATATAACAAGCACTCATATATTCACCTCAAAGCTTAAGAATAAAACATTATCAAATTGAAACACCATATAAATCTTCCTTTCTCTTCTTTCCTTTGCCTTGGATTTGTTGTTTAGCATATCTGTGAACATTAATGCAGTTTTCCATATCTGTGTCCCTTCACATATTTAGTATTATTTTTTAAATGTCAAATTTCAGGTAAACGAAAACATATTGTACATATAGCACTTGTAAGCTGCACTTTTAACTTAATTTTTGGAGACTGTTTAGTCACTCTGATATCATCAGGCTTTCATCCTTACTTTCATATGAGCATTGATTTGTATTTTCTAACAGAGTTTATATATTCATTCTTCTGTTTATAGATGTAAGATTGCAACCAACTTTTCACTATTAAAATTAGTGTTATAATAAAAATTTTGTTCCTGTCCCAGGAAACATTATTCTCTCCATCTAAAATAACTAGGCCAAAGATAATTTGCATCTTTGTCTTCATGGAAATTGCCTAGTTATTCTCCAAAATGACAGGACAAATTTATACTTCCTACAGTAAGGAAGGGGATTTCCAGTTCCTCCATAACCTTGAAATGCCTGCTTTTATTACATTCTCAAATTTTCCCCACTGAATCCCTTCATTGTTTGGAGGTTGTGGATATTGTCCTACCTTACTTGGCTTATTGGAACTTCCACTTCAGTATTCTTCCTGTTCTCATCACCTACTTCGACTGATGTCAGCCCTGTACCTATGGGGCGGGGATTTGCAGGTTTCTTAATAATTAAATCATGATCTATGTTGTACATCATGATTCTTTATAATTTCTGGCTTTTTTATCTTATTTTGCTTATCTTTATGTTTTATTATTGTTAAGTTTTTTAATGCCATTTAGACATACATAGTGATCATATTCATCATAGAGAATCTGTACCTGTACATGACGTATTTTGATTCCTTTTTTCCCCAACCCCCTCTCCTCCCTTCAGCTGCTCTCCCCTCCTTATTTACAAACCTTTGTTTCCATTTTACCCTTCTTTTTTCATTTTTTTCCTTTTCCCATCCTTCCTCTCCCACTCTCCCCTCCCTAGTTCCCCTTTTCTTTTTGAAAAGTTTCTTCTCATTTTGATTTGTTTTATTCTGACTTCCTAAGTTTGCCTCTTAATGTTTTCAGTTTTTGACATAGTAGATTTTACTTATAAAAAAAATCAAAATTTTGGTATAATAAATTTATTATTTTGGCTTTTGCTCTTTGTTTCTTAGGAAACCCTTTCTTATGTTCTTAACTGGTGAGATAGTCTATTTCTTTTTCTGCATATTAAAAGTCTTATTTTCCATAGAATAAGGGTAGCAATTTTTTTGTTTTTTTTTTTTTAATTCACAGTACTGAGCATTGGGGTAGTTGGTTTCTCACCACTGAGCAGTCATTCAACAGGACTTCTCAAATGCAAACTCTTAAATTCTGGGAAATTTCAATAATTATGACTTTGAAAACTTCCTTTCCTTGTTTTTTATGTTTTTGTCTTCCAGATATTCAGATTTTGGACCCCTTGGATATTCTTCTTAATTTTTCCTTCATTTTTCTCCCATCTTACATTTCCCTTAGGAGTGTTTTACTTGGAGAGAGACTTCAACTTTATTTTCTAAGTCTGTTGATCTTTTCATTGTTTGCTGTCTTTACCTTTATTTATAAAATCTTTTTGTCCTCTTTATATCCTTCATAGCACTCTAATCTTCTCTCATTGTGTTTTATCTCTTACAGGATTCTAGCAGTGAGAAAGCCGAAGGGTGACCTTTAAATTAGTTTTAAATCTTTCTTCAATTTCTTGTTTTGTACCTATGCCCTCCAAGTTACTTTCTTGTTTTGTTTTGATCCAAATGGTGTCAGAAGATTGCATCAAATTCATGATAACTCTGACTCTTACTCGTGTGAAGGAGTGGAATGCTAAAATGTAGAGCAGATGTTTGGTGTGCACAGGTATGGCTGCTCGACAGGGAAACAACTTACCGGAGTGATTTTGCAAGAACTCAAGTATATAATTAGAAGATTGCTATCTGCTAACTTATACAAATTTTTTACTGCTCAAATTATCCAGAAAGAAATCTTTCAAAACCATGACTTCAGAGTACAAACCACATTTCAGAATACTAGAAGTTGGTTCAAGGAAGATAAACAGAAGTGCAGATATTCACTTAGTTCTTGGGTTTTTAGTAAGACATCATCTTTCCTTCAGTTATGTTTTCGTTCTGGGACACCTGTTTAAATCTTGGTTTAACAAGTCCAAAGAGCAAAGCTTTAGTTTGCTTGGAGGAGGAAAAGGTAGTTACCTGTATCCTCAGAAAACAGGAATTACTTTAAATGCTTCTAAGGTAAACTTTCAGGCAGCCCTACTGAAAAATCCCTTCCACACCTATAATTTCAGAAGTACTTGATGTAACCTCTTCCTGAGACTCCCTGTCCTCTGCATCATGATTCAGCCACTCTGATCTGTCCTGACTGTTACAGTTCATGGGGCTGTTCTGCAATATAGGTAAGGTTTTAGATT